GGTGGGGAGTGACCGTTGATGGGGGCGGGGACGCTCAGGGAGGGAGCCAGACACGGAAGGCCATGCGGGGTGTGAGTCCACGTGGGTGACATGTCCAGAACGGGCTTGTCCACGGACACAGAAATGAGTTAGTGTGTGTCAGAGGTTGGGGAGGGGGTGGGGGATAACTGCTGATAGGGTCAGTGCTTCTTTTTGGGGAAATGGAATGTTCTGGCATTAGATCGTGGTGATAGACACCTATGAATATTTAAAAACTGCTGAATTATTTGAAGTAGATTTCATGAAACTTGGTTACTTCCGAAAGAAGGAGCAAAAACGACAGTATTAGAGATTTGTGTCTCCAAGTGTCCCAATTGAAGCAGTGACAGTCATCAGAGTGTGGCTCAGGCCAGAACCCACAAGATGCCGGACGCAAACCACATCCTCCTTCACGCACACCCCACCCCCGAGCCTACATCTGAGTGTTGCAACCTGCCCCCCAAAGTCTCCTCACATCTTCAGAGAAAACCCCAGGAGAGCCGGGCCTGACTGACGCCTCGGAGCCCTCGGGCCTGACGGGAACAGGGGGGCATACGCTCTTCTTTCTCTCTCTTTAGGAAACGAGCAGATGAAAGTAGAGAACTTTGAAGCTGCCGTGCACTTCTACGGGAAAGCCATCGAGCTGAACCCGGCCAACGCCGTCTATTTCTGTAACAGGTACTGGCTGGGCGCACACGGGGGAATTGTTTGTACTGTCACTTGGGGGTTGTTCAGCCAGAGCCCCAGATCAGCGGCAGGCGGCCAGCTTGGTGTCCACAGGAGCTGAGCGTGGCATTAGAATTAAAATCGGGGCCGCGTTCTGCACGGATGCTGCGGCAAGGAAATAAGCCAGACCACAGGTGATGTTCCACGCCCACGTTCACAGCGGCGCAGCTGCTGGCCGCGAGGGGCCGCGTCCAGCTGGTCCTTTTAGAGGGAGAGCTGCCTCCGCTCTCCCACGGCCTCCCAGGACGGGCCGTTGTGCTGACGAGAGGGACTGAGTGGGACGTGGGACGCAGGGTGGCCCCGGGACCCAGCGGTGGATACTGGGGAAGGGGGTGCCGCACGTCATCCACGCTGACGCCAGGCTAGAACTGCTTGTCGTTTTGGTTTCTTTATTTTGACTCTCTGGGGCAGTAACACAAACAGATTGACAGGAAGGTCGCACACGAGAATCCCGTACACCCTCCACCAGCCCAGCCGCTCAGTGTTTCCTATCAGACGCCTTTCTGCACTTCAAAACCAGGGAGAAACGCAAAGTGCAATATTAAAACCTGAAACTGTCCCAAAACCCATCTCGCATGGGAGGAGACCCTTGAGAGCTTGGACAGGGGTCTCGTGGATCGGTTACTGTCTAACCGATTTTATTCCCTGACGTAGAAGGGGGGCAGAGCCTGGGTGTTGAGCCCGTGGACTTGGGGTTCAGATCCTCGTCCCATCACAGCCAGGTGTCTGCAGCATCGTTGAGGCAAGCTGCTCTGCCTCCAGCCTCAGTTTCCCCAGAAGGCTGTCCCAGCCCCCAGCACAGGTGCTCTGCAGACAAAAGCCCTTGGCCTGTCCCCCCCACCCCCGCCTGACACATGGGGAAGCCCAGGCTCCTCCCCAAAAGGCTCCTCTTCGGCAGCGAGTGAGCCCCGCAGCCCTGCCTGCCCTGCTTTGTTTCCCCAGGGCCGCGGCCTACAGCAAACTCGGGAACTACACTGGGGCCGTGCAGGACTGTGAGCGAGCCATCTGCATAGACCCGTCCTACAGCAAAGCCTACGGCAGGATGGGGTGAGTGCCCCGGGGGGACCGGGAGGGGCCACGCCGTCTCTACCTTCTTGGACTGCCCCACCCCCCACATCCGGCTGTTACCCCCTTTCCTATTCAGGGTGCTTCCCACACGCCCAGCCCCACCACCTGCCGGGTGTCCAGCAGTTTGCTTTAGTCCTGATCCTCTGCCTAGACAGAGTCAGGACTCGGCCCCACTCACATGTCCTAAATCTGGGCCTCCCCTCCTTCCGACCCAGCTGCTGTAAATCGGGTTCCCACCGCTCGCTCTGCTGTGCCCCAGTGGTTTGTTGGAAATACACCTGTGCGTACCGGTTCATCGCAGAGGATGCAGACAAAGAGCTCCACAGGGCAGGGTCCAGGAGGGTCCCTGGGTGGGAGCTCTGTCTGGCCCCCTAGAGTGGGGTGTGATGCCTTCACCAATGGGGACATTCTCCACATCTCATTGTTCAGTTTACAGCCTGCTCTCCAGCCTTCTCCCCTCCCAGAGTTTTGGGGGTAACAAGGTCCCCCCTCAAATCCCAGATTTGGTCTTCCTGGTCACCAGCCCCATCCTGAGTCACCTCCTAGGCATAAACTCGGGTGTGATCAAAGGGGGTCATTATGAAAACCAGGAGATGCCTGTGATTTGGGCAGTTTCGGGTTTTAGAAGTTCTGTGCCAAGAACAGGACCGGCCACGTCCGACCACCCTGTTCTCTGCTCTGCACCCCTCCTCTGGGCCTTCAAACCTATTGTGTGAACTTGTGCCCTTGAATTCTTTTCATACACCCATCCTCTCAGCGCCCCCAGCCCTTGTGGGCCGTCCCCACCAGACACTAGGCCACAGTGACCACTGGAGCAGTTTGGGAGTGGCGGGCAGCCTCCCAGGCCCCCTCCACGCGCTGGTGTCTCTCCCCCAGCCTCGCGCTCTCCAGTTTGAACAAGCACACCGAGGCCGTGGCCTATTACAAGAAGGCCTTGGAGCTGGATCCTGACAACGAGACCTACAAGTCGAACCTCAAGATAGCCGAGCTGAAGTTGAGAGAGACGCCCAGTCCTGTGAGCGGCCCTGGGGAAGGGAGCGGGTGGGAACAGGGGAATGTGGGCCAGTTTTCTTACTGCGGTTTCCATAGGAAGGAACGGGTGAGGCAGGGGATGCAGGCCTAGGACAGGCTAGATGCGTCTTCTCAGCAGAGTCCGCGGCACAGGGGCTGGCTTTCGCTGTCGGACACCTGGCTCTGGGGCGGTCAGGGCAGGGGGTGGTGGCCCTGAGTGTGAGAGCCTGTTGGAGGAGGGCTGGGGGTGTGGGCCGTGGACTGGTGGGTGATGGTTGTCTGGGAATTTGTAACCCCTGAGGGCCCTCCAGGCTCTGCAGGGGCCCAGGATGTCAGAGCATCCCACGGTACTTTTCCTAAGCGGTCGGTGCCATGGCTCATGCCCTTGATGAAGCACCGTCTGGCCGCAAGGCCTGGCTGCTGGGTTGTGAGGACATCTGAGCCGTCGGCCTCTTAGGATCCCAGCCGCCCCGCTGTGGGATCTTCTCTCTCGGTTCTGGGGGCCAGCGCCATGGTCCTGTGACCACTCACCAGGGCTCTTCTCATCCCCACAGACAGGAGGCGTCGGCAGCTTTGACATCGCCGGCCTGCTCAACAACCCCAGCTTCATGAGCATGGTAACCTGCGCTCCCATCCCCATGGGGGCCGCCTGTCGCGGGCCAGGGCTGCCCGGCCTGGGCATTGCTGACTCTGGGCCAGGCCGTTCTCTGGGGGCCTGAGCGGGGCACCGTGGGG